TGCCCTGTGCTGAAAGCGATGCAAAAGAAGAGGCATCTTGCTCTGAGAGCGATGGGGAAGAAGTACCAGATGCTGGAATCCCTGCTGCTTCAAGGAAAATAGCTTCTCTTTCTTCTCCCCTACGGGCGATCGTCCGCCTGCGGCGGCGATACCGCGGGCAGAAGAAAAGCCGCCTGCACTTGGAGCTCCCTCGGGAAAAGCCCGCCGAGTTTGTCCACACGAGGCTGCTCCAGAGGCAGCTCTCCCTGAACAGAACTGGCCTGTATGGCCCTTCCATGTCTCTCTTCAACCAGACAGGCTTTGAAAGCTCCCAGTACTTCACCTTCGACACGTCGGTGGAGCAGCACGCGATGAAAAAGTGCCGGCGGAAAAAGAGCCGAAGGAAATTTCGGATGGTCCTCTACCCAGACAAAACAAAGAGGTACCTTCCAACAGAGGAGAAGAGCAAAGCAAAACGCTGCCTCTTCTTGCTCATGGCCATTATCTTCTTCCAGATTCTCAATGCAATAGAGAACCTGGATGATAACCTCCAAAAATACGACCTGGACGGTTTGGAGAAAACAATGCACCGGGAAGTGTTTGGGCAGAGGGTGGCTGTGGAAAGTATTGTGGAGTTACTGAAAGACTATCTGGCTACACACATCCACAACAAGCCTCTAGTCATCTCTTTAAATGGCCCGACAGGAGTTGGCAAGAGCCACGTGGGCTGGCTGCTGGCCAAGCATTTTCGTTCCGTCATGGCCAGTGACTTTGTGCTGCAGTACTTTGTAATGCACCACTGCCCCAGCGGGGTGGCTCCTCTGACGTGTGAGATAGACCTGTCAGAGAAGATTTCTGACATCGTTACAAGAGCTGAAATAGAGGAGAAGACACCGCTGTTTATTCTGGATGAGGTGGAACTCATGTCTCCCGTCCTGCTGGACACTCTCAGCCGGTTCTTCGAACCCAATCAAACCAACGAGTTCCTCAACGCCATCTACATTTTAATCAGCAACATAGGAGGTGGCGAAATAACGAAGTTCCTTATCCAGAACGACTCCGCTGAGCTCCTGCGTCAGCACCGGGGAGCTGAAGAGCTGGTGAGCATTATCCAGCCGGTGCTGAGCCACGTCCACCCTCTCTGGAAGTCTGCAGACATCGTCCCGTTTGTTCTTCTGGAGAAGACTCACGTCGTAAACTGCTTCCTAGAGCAGATGAGGAGGGAAGGGCTGTACCCTGAGCAGAAGCACCTTGAACATTTGGCGGATCAGCTCAGTTACTACTCTGCGGGGGGCAGGCAGTACTCCAGGACGGGCTGCAAGCAGGTGGTGGCCAAAGTCAGCCTCCAGTAGGGATTTATTGCAGAGACCAAGCCCTGCTCTCAGGATTGGCCAAACTGTGGGCTCATGGAGGGGTGTGGTACATCAGGCTGTGGTCAAGGTGTCCTTTCTCAGCCCTGCACTGACTCTGTCCTGGTTGAGGTGGAGGGATGGCAGCCCAGACAACCCTGTTCTCCCGAGGCTTCACTTGTTCCTGATGTTCTGTGAATAAGGAAGGGCAAGGAAGCCCAAACCACCTCCCAGCTCCTCATGTTCTCATTGGGATACTTGTCATTAGGGAGTTGTCAGGTGGCATCAAAAGCTGCAGGACCTAAAAAGGAGGATGAAACAATTCCTGGGTGGCTGCCCCTGCAGAACACATCACCTCACGTGTCTCACTCCCTCCCAGGCTCACAGTCACCAGCTCTGTGCCGTTCTTGGTCCTGGCTGGTGTGTGCAGAGCAGAGGTGGGGCTGGATACCTGGGGGAACTGAGAGAATTTGTGGCTCCTGCTCCCCCAAACCGCGGGCAGCCAGAGCTCTGCTTTCCGCACCTCCTACGTGACCACATCCTCGGGAGAGCGCCTTTTGGATCTGCTCCTGGGCTGTTGCTCTTCTGAGCTCATACCTGAGCTCACCTTTGGCACCTGCAGTGAGTTTTCTGCCCTGCAGGTCTGTTTGGGCTCGCCTTGGAGACTGCTGGGCTGTGCCAGCCGGTGCAGGAATAACCTCCGGATTGTTTCGGGTCTCGTCCCCAGAGCTCTTCTGCTTTTTGCTCTGGGCCCACGTCACTGTGCTGCTTATCTAGAAAGCCCAAAATAGCAACTGATGTATATTAAGCAGCACACACTGGAGAAGACGGTTTGGGCTGCCTGGGCCTGTGCAGTGGGGATGCTGGGCTTGTTGCCAGTCCTGTGAGGCCAGGAGGAGGCTCTTTGCCAGCAAGACCCAGGTGAGAACTGGGAGCACCCCAGGAAGAGCACACGACCGTGTTCTGAGCAGGCAAACTGCGCAGGTATTTATGACATCGTTTTTTTCAGGTTTGGGTTTTGTGCAAGGGTTCTACAATTCGCTGTGAATTCCCACATAGGTGACCCTGTGGATGTTCGCTCTGGGTGTTTGATTCACCTCTTGCTAATTTGTTGGTTTGCAAAGACTCCATCACCAGCTCCTGCTTCCAGAGCTATTGTCAGGAATAAACCCAAACTGTCCTGAATAAAATAATTCAAAGTGCATTTCCTTTACTGGACTGAAATGTGGTTTTCCTCACAAATTTCTCATGCCTGCGCTTCCTGGTGCTTGGACTGGGAGCAAGAGTTACAGCTTTGCTGCAGGTTTTTTGCAGGCCACCTCGATGCAGTGTGTGAGCAGCACCTCGAGGTGCTCCTGATGAGCCCAATCCCAAACCCACACGGTGCAGCAGGGCCACAGTCTGGGCACTGCACAGCTCCTCCATCTAAGCCACCTCCTAAATTCAAGTGTCCTCAAAAACCAATGCGTGTGAGCTGGTTTTCATAGCTTAGAGAGATTTTACTACCAGGACAGTTAAGATCTTTTTATCCTGGATAAGACACAACTCAGGAACCAGGATTCTCCTCCTCTTCCAGCTGGGAGAGGGACAGATGTTAGTTCTGGTTTTTCAGCAGAGGTCTCTTGTTCCACTCCTCACCCATGGGGTGTTTAGTTGTGCCAGCCCTTCCCTGAACGAGCTGCCTGAGTTTTGCTGAGCCACCACAGCCCATGGCTCTGTACCCACCAGGACCTGCACACTGGGTCACCGTGAGCAGCTCAGCACCCTTGGGTGCAGCAGCAAAAGGTCCCTCATGGCTCTGCTTGGGGGAACATCCTGCACTCTCTGGCCTCCCCCTCTGTCCTCCCCCACTTCTGCACATCAAAGCCCTCTCAAAGCAAAGCTGCCCTGATGACTTGGCACAAGGTTTTGGGTGCCCTGTGCACCTTGAAGACCTGCCAAGGTCTTTGCCTCCCACAAAGCTCCTCTCGGTGCTAAGAAGGGGGGGGCTCAGCTTCCTGTCAACCCTCCCCATGCTTCCAGTTCACACAGAATCAGGGAATCTTTAAGGGTGAAAAGACCTCCAAGGTCATCAAGTTCAACCTTCAGGGGCATTCCTGTATCTCTGGAAGCCTTCCTCAGAAGGCACAGGAACCTCCAGGTCATGGAGAGGACTTTCCCTGCCAGGTTGTCCCAGGTCCCAATGTGCCCCATGACTCGTCCCAGCTCAAATGCCTCTTCATGCTGTCCCCAAGCCCAGTCTCCCCCAAGATCCCAGCTCTGTCCTGGCCCCAAGCTTCCCTGAAATCCTCTGCAAAGCCACCAGTCCCACTGAGGCTTTCAAGGCAGTGGAATTGGCACGTGGGCGATCCACAGAGCTGGGCACCAGGATGGCTCCTTCCTGGATGCTGGGCAAAGGGAGCTGGTCTGAGGGAAGGGAGCACTGAGGAGAATGAAACCTCCTCATCTCCCATCCTGGCTGTGCCAGGCCTGCTGAGGTTCTCCCCCTTTGCTCATCACAGGAGCCGTGTCAGAGGCACAAGAACCTCTGGAGGAGCTGACATCAGCTCCCACACTAACCTACCTGCTCCAGATTACACCCTGGCTCACCCACTGAGGGCTGGGATGATGAGCCTGGGTTGAGAAGTAAACAGGTAATCCTTCAAATTCCGAGGCTGGAATGTGGGGACCAAAGGACAAAGTGGCTTGTCCTTGGTTCCACCCCCCAGCCAGGCTCTTCCATCTTCCAGGGGCAGGAGGATCCTTAGTGGCTCCTGAGAAAGGGCTGGAAGCTGGAGACCAGTTGGCCCTCAAATTGCTCCTCCATGTGAGTTGGGAGGTTTTTATTTTATGTTCAAGAAGCACTGGGATGATACTCTCAGGAACATGGGAATGACTCTTGGAGAGTGTGATTCTTGGGAATGGGCCTGTGCAGGGCTGAGGCTTGGACTCCATGATCCTCATGGGTCCCTTCCAACTCAGCATATTCTGGGATTCTGGGATTCAGTGACAATAAACTGCTTCCACCAGACTTGAGGGCTTGGAGCCCTCCAGGCAGGAACACCGTGGTTGGGGTTCCCAGGACACTCCTGTGGGATCCTGCAGGGATGGGGCTGCCTCCTCCTTGCAGTGGGAGCTGTGGAAACATGAATGGGATGTTCCCTGTGTTCCTCCATGGACGTGGCCCAGCTCCAGCCAGAGGAAGGCGGGTGCACAGACACGTTCTGCACGAGCTCTGGATAACTTCAGCTGCCTGCAGGAGAAGAGGTTTGTATTTAAATATTCCTAAAAAGGACTTAATCCCAGCTGCCTCTGTTAACCAAAGCAGCCTGTCTAAAGCTGCCCCCAGAAGTGGGTGCTGGCTGGTGAGTGCTCCTGGGACTTCCCTGCACCACGGGAAGATGCTGCAGGGATGGCACAGACACTGACCCAGAGCTCTGTGTTGCACCACATCATCACACCAACCTCGCTGGCCCTGCTGGCTCCCTGAGCTTCCCAAGCTGCTGGAGCTGCTCCCACTGCACTGTGCCCACCCAGCAGGGCCTTGGCCTCACTGCTGGTGCCTCTGGCTCTCCCAAGACACCCCAGGGGAGCTGGGATGTCTGCCCAGCTCTGAACAGCATTCACAGAGAGATGCAGATGAAGGTGCCACTTGCAAGGGGTGCAGGGGGACAGCGAGCCCATCCCTGCGTACACCAGGGACATGCCCTCGAGCACAGGGCAAGGAAAAGCTGCTGCCACTCTCGGGAAGGGTCTGTGCTTTGTTGCTTTCTTTCCCGTGTTCATCACTAAAAAGACAAGGAAAGCAGATTTGGACCCCAGGGGCAGCAGGGGAAGATCAGGGGCTGCAGCAGGGGAGGAAAGAGCTGGGACAGCCCAGGTGATTTAGGGCTGTGAATGGGGCCGTTCCTCTGAGGGGGCAGAGGGAATGTCTGCGATGGCTTTTGAGACCACACAGTGATGGGGTGATCCTTTGAAAGGTGGAGAGAGGAGAAGCACCCCCTCTCCTTGGGAATGAGGAGGAGGCACAGGCAAATGCTGGAGTGAATGCATTAACTGAGAGCATCTAAAAGAGAGGGGAGAAATAACATCCAGCATTTGACAAGGTAAGTTGTAACCACAGAATCTAATTTCCTCCTCTGACAGGATATTCAAAGAATAGCTGTTAATAGTTACTAGGATGAACTGGAAAGAGTTTTCCAGAGCTGGGGAAACTAAATATTCCATAAATGGTGGGGAGGACAGAGTCAGACACGGGGACAGACGCAGAATTCGGAGGGGATGGGGAGAGGAGAGGCACACAAGCATTGCAGGAGACAGGCTTGGGATGAAAAGCATAAATTGGAGGAAAGGTCTGAAGGAAGGCGCTGCAGAGGAGGGTGGGGGTGAGCAATTGCACGTTCCTGGATGGGGAGGGTGAAGGGATGAAAGGAAAACAAGCCTTGGGGGGATCGCAGCACCCGAGCTCCGCAGGAGGGATAATACCCCGGGTTTCGAGAATGGCAAACATCCCACTAAAATGTATAAATAGGTGTGTTGCATAGGCAAGGGATGAAGTAATGTGGGGCCACGCTGGAGCAGCGTGGCCATATTTGGGCACCTCGTGGGGTGGAGGGAGACCTCGGCGGTTGCATCCTGCTGGGAAGAGAGAGCGGGAGAGGGGGAGCGAGGAGCCCCGGGATGAGTTTCTGGTGAACGTGATAAGAGGCTACAAATATGCAAAACACCGGCAGGAAGGAGACAGCGGTGCTTGGTTCTCCTGGGGCAGGGCGTGGGGTTGGCTCCGGAGAAAGAAATTTATGTAAAACTTTTGGAAAAGTGCTGTAGCTGCAGAAGTGAGGCACCAAAAAGGATCGATTAGGGAGGCTGCAGCGTTGCTGCCACTGAACCCGGGGGTAGGGGAGGATGGTTTAGCCAAAGACACAGCACTCTGCCTAAGTGGTTTCAGGACTTTGCCTGTCCCCTGTCACCCCTCGTGCCTGTCAAGGGTTCAGCTGGAACTTTATCCCACCCAGCACTCAGCTGCTCTCCCTTGCAGTGCTTGGTCTTCACAGATCACACCAATTTAATGTCACTCCTCTGTAAGGGATTTGCCCCAGTTCCTACAATACCTGGATTTAGGTGCAAAGTTTCAGGCACTTGCATCTGAAAACTGTAGCCATCCCCAAGGAGCACCTGCAGAAAGGGGCAGCCCTTCCCAGTATGGCCCAATATTCACCAGTTACAGATGTGGAGCTGGTGGGTGTCACTGGGCAGCAGCAGAGCTCTGCAGTGTGGGACTTGGCATCAGCTCCTGCTGCTCCTCCAGCTGTGGAGATCTCAGCACAGGGCCACTCACGGCTCCGTGCAGGGTGCACACAGTCCAGGATCATCTGTGGATGCTAATTTGAATTTACTCACACTGTGCTTCCTGTGATGTCTTATCAACTGATCCCTCAGGCTGGGATTCAGCTGCCCTAATTTCGGTATCTTGAGGAACTCTGAGTAAATCTGCCTGGGATTTCCCCAACCCTTCCTCCTGAAAAGAGCCTGCCCAAGGAACCCAGGGCTGGGAAAACACTGCCTGGAAAACCTTTCCCGAGCCACAGCTGATGCTCTGGGCTCCCTGGGCAGGATTGGACCCCTGGGCCCCGTGGTGCCCGTGCAGCCCTCAGGTTTATCCCAGCCCCTTGCAGTTCTGTGCTCCTTGATGTGCCAGCACAGTGCTGAGGGGATCTACCCCTGCTGCCTCCCACCCCAACTGCCCTGCAGAGACACCCAGCCACCCTCACCCAGCACCTCCCAGCCAGGACAGAGGGATTCCTGCAGGAATTCCTGTGGGACACACTCACACTCAGCAGCACCCATGGGACAGTCCAGCTTAGTTTGGGGTGGCAGTGTGGAAGCCTCAGCTCTGCTGACTGTGGGGCACCTTTGTGGGGGCATTTTGCCCTGCACTTGGCTTTTATTGGTAATCTTGCATCTCCCTGCTGGGCCTTTTGCCTGGGGATGTGCCTGCAGGGAGCACCATGTTCTCCCCAGCTCCAGATCCCTGGGACACCTCACCAGATCCCCGTGGCTTCTCTTAACTTTTGGCATCAGCTACAGCTTCCCCAGAGGGGCACAAAGGACCCAGCCTCCACCAGATTTTGGCACCTGACCCCTGTGAGGTGACTGCGCATTTTTTGTGGCCAGTAAGTGATATGTGAAAGAAAAGAGAGCATTAATTGCAGCCAAAC